GCAGGATGTATAAGGTCTTGTCCCATCGTCAAAGGCCAGGACTCTGTGCTCAGTGCAAGGAGAAGAAAAAGTGGAATGGAAAGAACACTGCTCCAGAAGCCCAGCAAAGAGGTGCTGAGAAGCAGTGAGCACCCTCTCTGTGCAGTCCCTGACTTCTCAGGCTGCAGCGTGAAGGGCTCAGAACCTGAGCTTGGAGTCAGGTAGACTCAAATTTTTGTGACCCCAAACTTCTCCTCCTTCAGTAAGTTCCTTAACTTTACTGAGCCTCAGTGTCCTCCACTATAAGCCAGAACACCACTACTTACTTGAGGGGATCCCTGCATCAGTTAAATGAGGCAACACGTGGATAGTGGTCAGTACTGTGAGCACAGCAGTCATTGGGAAGTTCCTGTCTTTTCTCGGCTGCTCTAATTCTAGAGGAAACATTTTGGTGCTTTGTTCCTCAGGGTGACATGAGAGATGGGAATAATACCAGATCAAAACCCATGTGGGCCAGGTGAGGTGGCTCATGTCTGTAAGCCCAGCATTTTGGGAAGCCAAGGCATGTGGATCACCTGAGGTCAAAAGTTCGAGACCAGCCTAGCCCACATGGTGAAACCTCATCTCTACTAAAAATAGAAAAATTAGCTGGGGGTGACGGTGAGAACCTGTAATCCCAGCTACTTGGGAGGCTGAGGCAGGAGAGTCATTTGAACCCGGGAGCCAGAGGTTTCAGTGAGCCAAGATCATGACACTGCACTGCAGCTTGGGCGACAAGAGCAAAACTCCATCTCAAAGCAACAACAAAGACTTTATGGCTCATTCACTGCCTAAAATAGCCAATTAGGAAAAACATCAGATATAGCCAGGGACTAAAATAATTTCTTGGTATTGTCCATATTAGGATTTAATTCATCCTGGCCTAAAGCTTCAAACATTTTCCTCAGGAGGGAAATTAAAGTGAAAACTGAGCAGGAGAAAATGAAGGTCTGGTTTAAAGCTTAATCTCCTCTTCCCATCTCTACCAAGGCAACCCCAAGGACCCTCTTGGGGAAATTCTCAGGAGGGACATGCCGGTGGTGGTGGTGAGAGACTCAGCTTGAACCTCACAGCATGTGCCCATTTACCGATGGTTTAGAGGGTGTTATAGCAAACTTAGTAGGATGATGAATGGGATCTGTAAATTCACAAATAATCAAGATGATTAATTGTGAACAGAAAGTAGGAACCGTGGCTCTTTACCTCAGGGATTCCAGGATCAGGGGTGCAATGTGAGCAATATTCATGTCCCTAGTGTGAAAGATGACATAACTGTGTTGCAGTGAAGAGGGAATATTTGACGTCTTCCCAACTCATGCCCCATGCCCACAAGTCCATCACCATGTATGTGCCAGAGAGGATCTAGTGACTGATGACATGTGAGACTAGGAATGGAGAAAAGCTACTTGAAACCCTTGGGGCTCATGCTCGGCACCGAGTCCCAGAGCTGTGGCCAACCAGGTACATCACAGTGGACCTACAGGGCCTGGCTGCCAAGATACCACCTCTTGGCCTAGACAACTTGTGAGCACCAAACACTGCAGCCCTGTGGTACTCACTGACGACAGTCACTGCAGGATGCACTTCCTGTGTGTCAAGCCGCGGGGAGGTCCTGCTCTGGGAGTGATGGGGGCAGACCGGGTGTGGCTGCTGCATGGGATCTGGGGCTGAGTCTGGGACCGGGAATCCCACTTGGTCTCTAGGACTTCCGTCACTTTACCCACATTATGCGTCCTCCTCAAGATACTAGTGGGATAAGAAAGAAGGAAAAATAAAGGTCACCTGAACGCCATAGCTGTACTAACGTGAAAGCTCAGACAGAGCGTGGAGAAAGGCAGGGGCAGGGAGAGCAGCACTTGTCTGGTGCACTGGCTACAAACACTCTGAGGAAAAGAGAAGCCTTACCAGGCCTTTAAATAACACTAACGCTTCCTTCACAAGACACCCAGAGGCCCTTAAGAGTTCAACTCCAGCCAGGCGCGGTGGCTCAAGCCTGTAATCCCAGCACTTTGGGAGGTTGAGGTGGGCAGATCACGACATCAGGAGATCGAGACCATCATGGCCAACATGGCAAAACCCTGTCTCTACTAAAATACAAAAAATTAGTCAGGCATGCTCGTGTGTGCCTGTAGTCCGAGCTACTCGGGAGGCTGAGGCAGGGGAATCACTTGAACTTGAGAGGCAGAGGTTGCAATGACCCGAGATTGTGCCACTGCACTCCAGTCTGGTGACAGAGCCAGACTCCATCTCAAAAAAAAAAAAGTTCAACTCCAAGTATGGGCATGGTGGCTCATGCCTGTAATCCCAGCAAATTGGGAGTCCAAGGCAAGATGACTGCTTGAGCCCAGGAATTCTAGGCCAAACTGAGAAGCATAGTGAGGCTCTCTCTCTACAAAAAAATAAAAATGGAAAACGAGCTGGGTGTGGTGGCACACACCTGTAGTCCCAGCTACTCAGGAGGCTGAGGCAGGAGGATCCCTTGAGCCCAGGAGCTCAAGGATGCAGGGAGCAGTGATTGTGTCACTGCATTCCAGCCTAGGCAACAGAGCAAGACCTCATCCCAAAAATAAAATAAAGTAAAATGTGGAAAAAAAAGAGCTCGACTCCCTCTGTGAACATAGTTTGTTACATAGCATTTGCCATAGACCATTTAAACAAACTCCTGGAGCCTCACTGCCGTCTCCCAGTCTCTAGCTCCCCCTCCCTGATTAGAGACACAGTGTAAACTGTTATTTGCAATGAAAATTTGTAGCTGTTTCACATCTGCCAGCACTGCTTGGGTCACCCTTGAAGAAATCAGATATAATCTTACTCTGGTCTTTAGACAAGGGAAGCCAGAGGGGATCCTGGAGCTTCGGAAGACTCCTAAGACCCAGACAGGCTACAGCGGCTCTATATTACTAAATTGGTGAATGAGTTGGTGAAAACAAAATAGTACATTTAAAAATTTTTAAATGAGGCTGCCTTATCACTAAGGATACACACATAATGGTTTAATGAATAAATAAACTATTTGTTTTTTACTGGCCATGTGAGCTCCTATTTCTTTGAGCTTCTGGCTCTTGCTTCTAGATTCTTCACCAGATTCCACCTTCGATAGCCCCTGAAAACGTGGAGTTACCTGAGAGTCGAAGGCACCTGTCCTGCTTGATTCTTCTTACTTGTACAGTCACCTGAGAACAAAATTCAGAAAGGACCAGTCATGATTTAAGCAGGTCTCATTTCCCTGACTGAAAACAGACATGGAGTTCTGTCCAGGACCAGAGACATAACTACTTGATGCTTGACTCCAGGACACTGATGAATTTTCCCAGGTCGTGGGTTGAGTCTTTAGAGAGCTTGCCTGGCAGGCTTTCCTGAGCCCCCGTGAAGGTTGTCATCTCCACTTGCTTTGCCCTGAGTCTTTATTCCCACAGATATGGGACTCATCTCCAGCTGGCCTGTGGACCCCTCCAGCCAAAGCCTCCAAGTCCTGGCACGAGGCCAGCACCAGGCCCATGGCTGTGTATTCCACCGTAGCTTCCATGCAGAACCTCCCCCCTTCTCCGAGGAGATGAGACATTCCTGTCCCACCTGCCATCAGGAGACAGTGCACAACTCAAGCCTTCTGTTACTGTGTGCCCTTGGGTATTCGAGGGAAAATTCCATGTAAGAAGCTCCTGAAACCGTGAATTTTCTCACCACCTTGTACTGGCACACAGAGTGCCTAAACCAGGCCAAGCCAGCAGGATTCTTTATCATTTTTTTGAAGTGTACTGATTAACGTTGCCTATTTAATCCATGGAACAATCATGCAACATTCAGGGGCTGGTATAATTTTTTAGGTGGGGAAACAGAAATCAAAATAAACATTAATCTGTCCAGAGCCAGTAAAGAACACATATAAGCTAGTGGTAGGGTCTTTGGATTACAGAAACCAGCTGCCACTGTTCCTTCTCTCTTTCTGCCAAATAGTTTCAGATCAGTACCAGCATCCCTGGGGAGGCCTCCTGCCCTAACATCCATATTCCATGAGGGATGGAGGGGCTGGTGATTACCATGGCATCCTCTCCCAATGTGTTTCTTCTTGGAGCACGTCACCAGCCAGTCCTGACTCTGTCATGGTCCTAATGTGGTGATTACAAAGCAGGACACCAGGTTGAAAAGTGACTTGTGAGTAGGGTTGGGCTCCCGTGAACTCAGGACCGTGGGAGAGCCTGGAAGTCTTCCTTGAGAGCTTGTTTGGAGGCTCTAGCAGGGGAACGCAGCTACTCGTTACCCTTGACTGAAGACCAGTCCTCCTCTATCGGGGATGCTTGTCCTCTTTAACCAAGTGCTCAGCTTTGGGAGGGATGCACATGGAGTGGTGAGGGAGGAAGGGGACACCCACCTAGCTAGCCAGATCTGCCAAATCAACCCTGGTGATCAATGGGGTGACAGATGTCACAGCCAGATCACCCTCACATCCTAGGCTGGAAGTCTTCCTAAGCTCCATGGCCAACTTACCCATGGTGAATTTTCTGACAAGACTCTCCACCAGCTGTCTGCCTTTGGCCGGCTGCTCGCGGAAATGCTGCTCCTTATAGTGGTCAATGTTACTGATCTGAATAGCTGCTCAAAGGTCTTTACTGTGTTCTCGGCATGCTGGATGAGAAGAGAAGAGCTGCTCTCCCAGTCTGCATCTTCTGCTGTAGATGGGTTTACTCTTGAGCCTCCTCCTGGATCGAAGACTACTTCCTAAAGCAGAAAAAAAGAAGTAAAGGTAGAGAGGTATACCTGTTAGGCTATAGCACTTTAGGAGAGGGGACTGGAGGGTGTGACCAGAGGAGGCCACACACTGAATTCCAGCACATGTTTAGTGTCCCGAATGTGGTAAAAGGAATGAAGGAAGGAAAAGAAAAGCAATCCTTATGTGAAAGATCCTTTCTAAGATTGTCACTTTTCGTGCTGCTTGCTAAAGAAGAAAAATCATATGATCGTGTTAATAGATGAAGAGAAAGCATTTGGGGATCTACAGCGGCCAGAGAGGAGTGGCTTCACCCGCTTGGCAAGAGTGACACAAGAGGAATAGTAGCATAGACAGAGAATATCGACATTTCCATTTCTGTGCCTAATAGAGTTTTAATGCATCATGGATAATCTGTCATCAGAAGAAATTCAACTGAGAGCTCACCAGATTACTGATGAGTCTCTGGAAAGTATGAGGAGAATCCTGGGTTTAGCCAGTGAGTCTCAGGATGTAGGAATCAAGACCATCACTATGCTGGATGAACAAGGGGAACAACTAAACCGCATAGAAGAAGGCTTGGACCAAATAAATAAAGACATGAGAGAAGCAGAGAAGACTTTAACAGAACTCCACAAATGCTGTGGCCTTTGTGTCTGCTCACGTAATAGAACAAAGAACTTTGAGTCTGGCAAGGTTTATAAGACAAGATGGGGAGATTGCGGAGAAAACTCACTTAGCAATGTAATATCTAAACAGCCAAGCTGGGTGACAAATGGTCAGCCTCAGCAACCAGCGACAGGAGCAGCCAGTGGTGGATACATTTAACGCGTAACTAATGATGCCAGAGAAGATGAAATGGAAGAGAACCTGACTCAAGTGGGCAGTATCCTGGGAAATCTAAAAGACATGGCCCTGAACATAGGCAATGAGATTGATGCTCAAAATCCACGAATAAAACGAATCACAGACAAGGCTGACACCAACAAAGATTGTATTGACATTGCCAGTGCCAGAGCAAAGAAACTCATTGACAGCTAAAGCTACTGCTGTACTTGTTTACCATTTATTCACTTCCGTTGCTCCTCCTCAAAAGTTGTTACCTTTTCAGAGTTTAAATTTTCGGTTCCACACACTTCTGATTGGGAGATAATGGGCCAGAGCAGTAACAGCCCTCCTGCTTTTTTGTTTTCTGTTGGGGGCCGACTGCTGCTTGGCCTTCCTTCTAGTATTTTCTTCCTTAGTTCTCTCAGGTTGATTTTCATACATCATGTATAGTGTTTTCATCCTCCTCATGTACTTCAGCAGGTTCTTTTGCTTTCAAGATTTGGAAGCATTGCCAAAGACAGCCATGAAGAAGGAAGCTGTAGAGGTGTTTGTTTGTTTTTGTTGTTCTTTTTTTTTTTTTTTTTTTTTTTTTTTTTGTGGTAGAGGGAGGGTCAAGAGATAAGAGGTTGTCACCTCAGTAAAAACCTTCAGGCCACTAAGCAAAAAGTTGCATAACCACAGTGAAGATCTAGTTGGATATAGTTTTTAAGTTGCAGTTGTTGTCAATTTAGGCTAATGCTTGGTTTTGGAGCTCTTATATACAATATTTTTATTAGGAATCACAGTTTTGCAACCTCTACTCCAAAGAGAAATTATAGAATGAGTTTTCTTAAAGTGAGCTTAATTTCTGAACTCTTAGTGATTCATATATGTACATAAATCTGTGATCCCATTTCTTATTGCACCACTCAGGAACACTTTGTGTAAATGAGAGGCTTTTTATTTCACATTATTAGGAATATCATGGTTCCATAATAGGCCTATTAACTTCATACATTGTCATTAGCCTTGAAGAAAAAATATGTGAATATATGTGTAACATAAGAATTTCTCTCTAAAACAGGGCTTAAAAATTTTTGGAAAAGTTTGTTGAAGTATACCACGTGAATACAGATTTACCCCAATGATAAGAATTATGTTTTCTTAGGAAAAAGGAAACTCATTTTGATCTCAGATAGAAAAATAGATTGCATTGAGTTTTATGTAGCTTTAGACTTTAAAAAGTTAGAATGTATTCTGTGTTACTAAAAGTGATTTGAAAAAAAAAAAAGAAAAAGTATTTGATAAAATTCAACACTCATTAATCATCAAAACTCTCAACAAAGTGAGATAGAGGAGAACTTCCTTAACTTGATAAAAAACATCTCTAAAAACTCTACATGAATGTCATACTAGAAACTAGATGCTTTCTCATTAAGATCAGCAATAAGGCCAGACACAGTGGCTTGTGCCTGTAATCCCAGCACTTTATGAGGCTGAGACCAGTGGATCATGAGGTCAAGAGTTCAAGACTAGCCTGGCCAAGATGGTGAAACCCTATTTCTACTACAAATACAAAAATTAGCCAGGCATGGTGGTGGGCACCTATAATCCCAGCTACTCAGGAGACTGAGGCAGAGAATTGTTTAAACCCAGGAGGCAGAGGTTGCAGTGAGCCTAGATACTGCCACTGGACTCCAACCCAGGCTACAGAGCAAGGCTCCATCTCAAAAAAAAGAAAAAGATCAGCAATAAGACAAAGCTTTCCCCTCTTACCACTCCTTTTCAACATCATCCTGGAAATCCTAGCTAATGCAGTCAGATAAGCAAAGGAAATAAACAGTATGCAGATTAGAAAAGAGGAACTAACACTGTCTGTGTTCACACATGACGCAGTTATCTATGTATTATAGAAAATCTCCAACATCATGAAACCCGTCTCTGCTGAAAACACACAAATTAGCCGGGCATGGTGACATGTGCCTATAACCCCACTACTCAGGAGGCTGAGGCAGGAGAATCGCTTGAATCCAGGAAGCAGATGTTGTGGTGAGCTGAGGTCATGCCACTGCACTTTAGCCTGGGCAACAAAGCAAGACTCTGTCAAAAAGAAAGGAAGGAAGGAAGGAAGGAAGGAAGGAAGGAAGGAAGGAAGGAAGGAAGGAGAAAAGGAAAGAAGGAAAAAAGGAAGGAAGGAAGGAAGGAAGGAGAGAAGGAAAGAAGGAAAAAGAAAATAAAAGAGCTGAAAGAACTGACAGCAAAAATCTCCTGGAACTAGTAAGTGATTATGTCAAAGTAAAATCTAACAAAACATGTACAAGATCTATATGGGGAAAACTGTAAAACTCCGTTGAGAGAAATCAAGAAGGATTAAATACACAGAGAGATATTCTGTGTTCGTAGACAGGAAGCCTGAATATTGTCAAGATGTCAGTTCTTCCCAACTTGATCTAAAGATTCAACACAATCCCAATCAAAATATCAGCAAGTTATTTTGTGGATATCGGCTAATAGATGCTAAGGTTTACATAGAGAGACAAAAGACCCGGAATGCACAACACAATATGGAGAAGGAACAGAGGGCTGATACGACCTGACTTCAAGACTTACTGTAAAGCTACAGTAATCATGCAGTATGAGATTTGTGAAAGAATAGACAAAGAAGTCAGTGGAACAGAATAGAGATTCCAGTAGACTCCAAAATTCAGCAGACTGATCTTTGACAAAGGGACAAGGGCAATACAATGGGAAACAAGATCGTATTTTCAACAAATGGTGCTGGAACAGCTGGACCTCCACATGCAGAAAATCTAGACACAGACTTCACAGTCTTCACAAAAACTCACTCAAAATGGATCATAGACATAAAGGTCAAGCATAAAACTATAAAAACTCCTAAAAGATAACAACGGCAGAAAATCTAGATGACCTTGGGTTTGGTGATGAGTTTTTATTTATTTTATTAATTGATCTAAAGATTCAATGCAATACCAACTTTAATTTAGAGACAGAGTCTCTAAGTAAATAAATAAATAATTCTCCTTATTTGCTGGAGTGCAGTGGCATGACTATGGCTCAACGTAGCCTTCCTTGGGTGTGATCATGGCATGACTATGGCTCAATGTAGCCCTCTTTGGGTGTGATCATGGCAGGACCATGGCTCTCCGTAACCTTCCTTTGCTGTGATCATGGCATGACCATGGCTCGTCATAGCCTTCCTTGGGTGTGATCATGGCATGACCGTGGCTCTGCATAGCCTTCCTTGGGTGTGATCATGGCATGACCATGGCTCGTCATAGCCTTCCTTGGGTGTGATCATGGCATGACCACGGCTCGCTGCAGCCAAACTCTTGGGCTCAAGTGGTCCTCTTGCTTCAGACTTCCAAAGTGCTGGGATTACAGGTATGAGCCATGGAGCCCTGCTACATGATTACTTTTCAAGTATAACAGGAAAGTCAAGACCCATGAAAGAAATAAATGATAATCTGGGCTTTATTAAAATTAAAAACTTCTGCTCTGCAAAAGACTCATCAAGAAAATGAGAAGACAACAAACTGTTGGCAAAAGACACGTCTGGTAAAGGACTGTTATCCCAAATACACAGAGAACTCTTAAATTCAACAGTAATGAACAACCCAACAGAAAATGGGCAAAAGACACCTCCCCAAAGATGAGGGTCAGATGATAAATAAGAATGTGGAAAGATGCTCACGTCATATGCCATTAGGGAGTTGAAAATTAACATGTGATACCACCCTACACCTATTAGAATGGTGAAATCCAGAACACTGATAATGCCAAATGCTGGTAAGGATGAGGAACAAAAGGTATTCTCCTTCGTTGCTGGTGGGAATGCAAAATAGTAAAGTTACTTTGGAAGACAGTTTGGCATTTTCTTGTGAAACTAAACATACTCTAACCAAATGACCTAGCAATCTGCTCCTCAATATTTACCCAAATGATCTGAAAATGTGTGTTCACACAAAAACCTGCACATGGTGTTTACAGCAGATTTAGTCATAACTGCAGAAATTTGGAAACAGCCTAGATGTCCTTCAGTGGGTGAATGGGTAAATTTTTGTACATGCAGTCAATGGAATATTATTTGGTAATAAAAAGAAATGAGCTATGAAGCCATGAAAAGACATGAAAGAAACTTAAGTGTATTACTACGTGAAAGAAGCCAATCTAAAAAAGCTACATACTGTGTGACTCTGACTATATGACGCAATAAAAACTTCTGCAAAAACAGGCAAAATAGTGAAGACAGTGCAAAGATCAGTGGTTGCCGGGTGCTGGGGGAAAGAAGAATGAAGAGGCAGAACACAGCATTTTTAGGACGGGGAATAGTCATTCTTTATTATAACGGCAGATACATGCCATTATACGTTTATTCTTGTGTCAAAACCCATAGGCTATATACCACCAAGAGTGAACCCACTGCAAACTGTGGACTTTGGGGGATGATGATGAGTCCATGGAGGTTCGTTGATTGTAACAAAGGTTATCGCTCGGGGGCAAGATACTGAGAGTGAGGAAGGCCGTGTGTGTGCAGGGGCAGGGGGCGCACAGGAACGCTCTGTTACTTTCCACTCAAGTTTACTGTGAACCTCAAACTGCTCTAAGAAAGTCTATTAAAAAAAGAATGATTACAGGAGTATAAGTTTTAAAAATATATTTGACAAGTGAGTGTAGTGTGGGCTTTGTGAATTCAGAGCACAGGATTCTAATGTTATCTCTGCCAGAGGCTTTTATGCAACTTTAATCAAACGACTATCACCTGGGGCCTAAGTGTTCTTGCTTCTAAAATGAGGAAATGAGACTAACTGACTCTAGAGGTTTGGTTTTGTTTTTGTGTTTTTGTTTTTGAGATGGAGTCTCACTGTGTCATCCAGGCTGGAGAGCGGTGGCATGATCTCAGCTCACTGCAATCTCCGCCTCCCAGATTCAAGCAATTCTCCTGCCTGAGCATCTGGAGTAGCCGGGATGACAGGCGCCCACCAACATGCTTGGCTAATTTTTGTGTTTTCATTAGAGACTTTCACCATGTTAGATGGGCTATCTCAAACTCCTGACATCGAGTGATCCTCCCGCCTTAGACTCTCAAAGTGCTGGCATTACAGGTGTGAGCCACCGCGCCCAGCCTAGAGTTACTTTACATTTAAAAACATTATTCTCTGGGTCAGTGAAATTCAAGAGGAATATATTGGGGAGTGACTTAATGGAGCAGGAAGCAGAATTTGAATCACTTCCAAACCTGTGCAACACTTAGGCAAATTAGTGACAAGTTAGTATTTTCAGTAACTGGTGCTCACAGGCAAATGTGTAATGGATTAACCCCATATTATTTAAGTGCTTCCAAAAAGCAGTAGGAAAATGGCCATTAAAGACAAACTGACAAATCTAGCCAATAGGTAACTATTTGACAATTCCGTCAGCTTATTTCAAAAGCTGAACTTATCAAAATTGCCATTCTTGAAGCCAGGGACCTGAGTTTCCATAGAGGCTGGAGTGAAATGGAGGGACCGCTGTATAAATCCACCTCCTCGGGCACTGGGATGGTTCAGCATTCACTAGACTAACATGTGAAGAAATAGGAGATTCCTACATGCTCCTGTGGATCCAGAGAGAGAACATTCACATGGCTGGAAGATGTCCAGCTCAGGTACCCATTGAAGACCAAATATGTGGTGAATACATGCAATGGTAGTTGGAATACAAGCAAATTTCTCTGAATAATATAAAGTCATTACTCATAAAAATTTTACAGATTTTTATCTAGGAAATTTCAGGAAGGTGTTAAGAGCAAGTCCTACAATTAAGGTGTGGAGGCTGGATGCAGGCCCTGAGAGCTGCTCTGATGAGCAGTGACCTAACTCTGAGAGTGGGAAGTCTCTCACCCACTGTGGGATGCAGTGGAGAATTCGGCTTCCTCAGGCCGAGGCATCTGCTCATCTATTCATTCCTGTCAGGTCCCTTCTTCTCTGAGGGCTGATCCATCCCAGCCCCCAGTTGGAGCATTTTCTCATGAAGAGCTCTCTCACAGCCATCTTTAAAAGGAAGGACGGAGAAGAAAGGTGTTTATGTCTTCACAATGGCCAGGTTTTTCTCTAAAGCTACCTAAGGGAACTGAAACAATGTCGTGGCTTACAGAAGTTGGGTTATTAGTGGAGATCCTGTAGGAGGATGGAATCTCAAGAGCAGAGGCCACAGGAAGTAAAGAATGAGCCTACAATGTGCCCCCTTGAGGGGAATATCCTCAGCCACGAGGACCCAGCCA